ATAAAACAATATATTTTATAGGAATCTTGATTTCTGTTCAGAGGACAGTGGAAGCCCAAAGGAAGGAATGGCCAATTCTGTGTAGTGAGACATGAAAGATTTCTTGAGAAGGTGACTATTGAAATGAGCCTTGAAAGAGGAGTAAGAGTTTGTCAAGTTAAAGAGAAAGAGGAGGAGGAGAGTCCATTCTAGGTAGAGATCAGTCTAAGCAAAGGCCTAGGAATAAATAACTTTGCCTTTTGGAGGAACTGCAAGAAGCTAAGTATGCCTAGAGCAAATGGTGATGGAGAATGTGGGAGGAAGAAAGGAAAGGCGAGAATGTGAAGAATTAGGCAATGGCAGGATCAGCAAAACTTCTCATAAAGGGATAGATATGAGAAGTGATGAGATACAATCAACAGAATTGGGTGACCTATAAGATATAGAGGTGCTGAGGAGTATAGTGGTGACTCTGAGGCTGAGTCCCGTCACCTCTGACCTGTTGTGACATCTATAGGTCATCTGGCAAATTTGCTTCTATTCACTGTTCCTAGGCTCTCCTTTTGTTCTTTCCTTATGGGCTCAGCCTTCAGACCTGCTGGACTTGCAGGGAAAGCTGGTGAAGAGGGATGGGGAAGTAATAAAGAAAAGATGGGCCCAAGGTTTGGAAGAAATGACAGGATAAGGCCCAGACTCGACTTGCACATTGAAACTCACTGGATCAAGACATAAAGCCCAGGGGTTATTCAGAATCAGATGGGACAGCAATTTTGTAATTGTAGCTTATTTGGTACCCAGGGCTAAGTGTCAGAAGTTTCTATTCAACTGTCTACATTTCCACTTGAAATGTATTTCCAATTCCAATGGAAATGTAGACACTTCAGATCCTTGATTTTCCCTCCAAAACCAAGCAGAATCAAGCTCTAACAAATGGAACTTGGTATTTTCTTTTAGCTCTTTCATTTGATTTTTATGATAATCTGTTTTGAGGAGCAAACAGAATGCAGAAAGATAATTCTTTTCTTAGTGGCAAGAAAAAAAATGCAAAAGACAATAAAGTGTTAGCAGGTGAAGAGAATGGCCTTAATAGAAGTGAGGACTACTAGCCCATGTTCTGGGGTCCCAAGACACATTATATAGAGAGTGATAGATTAGCATTGCCTGGCATAACCCAGAATTTTGTAAAAAGCAGGCATGTAAGCCTGCTTTCAACCCTGTCCTGAAGGACTGTTTCTTCTGAAAATACCAGAGAGTCCTGTATTAGACTAAGAAAGGGACAAGAGCTAGGTTCACATTTTTAGGGTCTTAGGGTTCAAATCTGGAACTCTAAAATGAGAGTAGAAAACATTAGCGAGCAGGGAATTGGAGTGAGAATGAAATTGTCACAGGCATTATATTAGTAGTGAATAGATTGCATTTGACATGCAGGTCAGAAAGTAGCTCAGCCACGCAGATATGTGAGCCAGCTTCACTCCTGGAAGCTGGGAGAGTGCAAAATTCTTTTCTAGCTTGTATGATGTCAACCAACATCTCCTACTTCTCTCAAATTTTTATGACCAAACGAGTTACTCAAATTGCAGCAACTCATTTCTCCCCACGTTAAGGCTAAAAAGAAGGCTTAGCTTATTTCTGAGCCTTTTGACCTTCTGATTGCCTCTATCCAACCTTGAAAGAAACTTTTAAGAGAGATTTAACCATATGGTCAGCAAGTCATCAGACATAGAAAACAATTAAATTGAAAGTAAGCAAAAGTAAGATTTCAGCAACTTCAGTAAACACTGGTTTACTTATGCTAGAATATGAAGGAGAAAGAACTAACATTATTGAGTACTTATTACATGACAGCCATTTTGTTTACATGCAGTACATGAGAATAAATAAAAGACAATTCCTATAGTAATATTTGTGAATAGGTATACAGCAAATGTGAGTTCCTCCTTACTCTTCTCCACCTTTACATAGTCATCTAATAATTTAACTTTTGCAACAATTTATGAAATTGATACTATTAACCTTAACTTACAGATGAGAACATTGAGGCTTAGAGAAATTATATTGACCAAAGTTGTCCAGCTAGTAAGTGGTGACACATTCATATGAACCAGGGTCCATGTATTTCCAAAAGCTTATGTGCTTTTTCCATGACACATGAGAGCCTACGACAGTAAATATATTTGTTAAAGCTTGTTTCTAAAGCTTGTTTAGCAGTGCAAGTAACTTTGGAAGCTTGTCAGAATGATTACAGAATCCCCCTCCTCTTTTTGGATCCAGCCCAGGGGAGAATAGAGTAAGCCTGCCACCTGAAGGCAATCCTGAGGCAGAAGAGCATTAGAGCCAGCACCACTGTAGTCAAGGCATTGTGTTAGGCAAGCCTTTGGAAATGTCAGAGAAGTACCATTCCTCCTCTGCCCTTAGCCAGCTCCCTGCCAGGTTTTGTGTGGGGGAGAGTTTTTCTCCTGCAGCTTATGTAAGGGA